AAAAGGCAAATCTGGTGAGGGCTCAGAAGGAAGTGAGAAGAGCTATAGCATATTGTCTTAGAAAATATAAATGGCACCAGCAACAGACTGTTGCTAGAAATGTGAATGTTTAATGTGCTTCTGGTGAAGCTTGAAAAGAAAATGAACATGTGATTGGACAGTGGAGAGTGATGCTTTTTATGCAGTGGCAAAGCACTTGAATTATGTTAAAACGTTTAGTGGAAGGTAAAACTTGTAAGTGATGAACATGGATACTTTGCTGAGATGATTTCTAAACAAGATCTTAAAGGTGTCATGTGGTTTTTTCCTTGCTGCTTATGGTAAAATTTGAAAGGAAATGTGTGGAATTAAAAATGAACTGTAAAAAATGGAAACAAAATGTAAATATCTGAAAAATTCTGTTGTACAGAGTAAGGACACATGTCCTAGAATCTTCACCAAGGATGTGACTGTATAATCGTTTGTTAAAGAAATTAAGCCTGTGACTAATGGATGTGTACCCACTACCCAAGCAGAAAATCCATCCATTTAGACTGAAGGAGACAGAGAAAGAATGAAAAGAAAGAACACTGTCTGCCCATTGGAATTCTACAGTTAGAAAACAGGCCAAAGGAACTATAGATGTCATTCTCCAAGGAAAGAAAAGAACCATTCCTAGAGCAACTGAGAACTGTTGGAAAGAGCACAGGAAGCAGAACTGTGTTGGTCTCAAAGGATGGGACTATGTCTCTGTAGCACCAAAGAGTAGAGCCACAGTCTTGTAGAGACAGATCTTCACCAAATTGATTCTGAAATGTGGAGCTAACATTAAGTTTGGCCAAGAGGATGCAGACTCTGCTCAAAGCTTGAGTGGAAGGCCTGCCATGCCCAAGGAGCATAAGAATGGAGCTGGCTGGCTATGAGAGGGTGATGTCTCACTCAGATGGACTAGGTGAATGGGGCCACCCAACACCAAGAGAACATAGTTCCCATCCCAGTGGGCCTGAATGAGCTGAAGGCTAGAGCGAAGGGGTCTCCATCTAGAATACAGAAAGTATGGACAGCACTCAGGTCTGCAGGGCAAGGCCATTGTCCAGATGGTCTCAGAGAACAAAGGATTCTTTTCAAATCTTGAGAGTTAATGCAAGTTTTTCTCCTAGGTTTTCGGCTTGCATGGTTCCTCTTATCCCCTATTTCTCTTCAATTTCTTCTCTTTGTAATGGAAATGTTGACCTTGTATTTGTTCCAGCATTGCAATTTTCAGAGTGATAATTTTATAGTCCGGATTTCACAGGTGCACAGATGTAAAGGAATTTTATTTGGGGACGGAATACACTAAAGCTTCGCCATGTTGGATTTAGATGATTCAGAAGATGGGATTTGGAATTGGAGTTGATTTAAGGCTTTTAGCATAGTATGAGGGTGAATGTGTTTTGCATATGACAAGACATTTTGGATGGCAAAAAAAGTGGAATATTATGGATTTAATGGCTTTTCCCAGAGTAATGTATGGCAAATTCTCCGTCTATGCCTGTGATTATAATTCCACCTGAGACTGGGTTGTCTGTGTTAATGTCACTGAGATAGGATTAGTGAAGGGTACATCTTTAGTCATTCTTTTATTTTAAGTTTTATTGTGAATTGAGTGGTAATTTATATGGGAGAGCATCAGCTTTACATTCATGCTATCATATTTTGTTTCATTGCAATAATTACCATCCCCTCCACGCATCATCATTCAACAGCATTTGCTTCCATTCCCACTTTTTTTTTTTTTGATGTACAACGAAACACTCAGGAATATATAACCATGCAAACAACCAAAGGGCATGTCCTGCAAGCCTGCTCCCGGCCACCAGCACACAGCCCTTCTCCCTCCTTGAGTCTGGAATCCCCAGTTGCTCCATCTCTCCACCTCATCATCTCTGCCTCCATCTCTGGTGTCACCGCTTCACTGGATAGTGTCCCGCACTCTGCTTTTCTCCCTTGATGGTCTCAGGGACCTCCGCTCCTGGACTGCAAGATCAACCACTCCCCTCTTTTGTTAAAAAATGTCTACCTTTACATTTGCAACAATTGCAGTCAGTCCTAATACCAATTATTCATTACTAAACCACAAAGAGTCTTATCCCCATTTCCTTTTATCTTTTATCA